CTGATCCACTGCACCTGTTGCAATCAATGTTTGCGTTGCGGCGCCACACCATCAGGAGCAACAAGAAAGAGTACACTCACGCTCGCAAACAAGCGGCACACTTTTCTTGTCGCCGATTTATACGTGTTGCGGTTTTTTTTTTGGTCTCGGATAAGACGGAATGTCGGATAAGCGAAGGTCAGTTAAACGAGACTCTACTGTACCTTCACTTTGGTGAACCCAGAATTTTAGAATTTGGATGAAATGAATGAAATGTTGTTTATATTTCTAACAAATTACATAATCAAAATATTCAAGTCTTTTGGTGTGGAAGAATGTAGATCTGACCTTGGGAAGAAAGGAAGGAAGGATCAAACTGTTAAGAGAGGAATTTCAGAAAAGATTACTCAGTCTGAGAAAGAGGAAAGCATGAGAAAGAAACTCAAAATAACCCCACTTTGATTTTGTTTGATAATATAGATCAGAGACAGAAAGTCTCTGTCAGACTTTCAAGATTCAGTTTTTCTACTCTACAACAATAAAGAACATTCCTGGAATCCCTGGTGTGCTTGTTTCTTGACCATGCCTATCTTGAAGGGCTGATACTTGGTGAGAGTTATTATTTGTGCATATATTTTAACAACCTTTTAAAAAATGTATTGTAAATTTGTCTTAGGCAGATTTGCTATTCTCTTACCTGGATGAAGCTGGGAGACAAAGCATCTATGTCTGGGAAACCCAGAGGAAGTTCAGAAGACAGCAATTCTGAGCAGTTTCAGTGATAACATTTACTAATTTTGCATGAGTCTGGATGAAACTAGGTTTTAGGACTTGTGACAGTGCCCAATTATGTGCATATATTCACATAAAGCAGCATGTCTGAATGTGGTGCTCTTCATAAGTCCTGGACTACAACTCCAATTGTACCCGGCTATGTTGACAGTACCAGATTGGGGAAGGCTGATCTACCAGGTATGGATAACAGAAACATCTGGTTGGAAGAAAAATGGACTTACTGTCCCCTTTGCTACCATGGTTTCATTTTTCTTTTCTGGTTAATTTGCAACCGTAATACTGACCCAAATGATGAACTGAACGTGATTGGCCTAAAGTAACCCAGTGAATTTCTCATTAGCTGAGTGTCATCAATAGGCTAGTGATGCCCAACCACCCATACCAAGGGTGTTCTTAGGGCTTTAATTCCATAGGAAGGCTCACTTGCTTGGCACTAGCGATGTGTTTCTCTTGACGAAAAAGCTTATCTATAAAACAAACAGCGTAACCTCCATTTCCTCCGAAGGAAGTCGTACTAATTATATAAAACGTTAAGTTAAGCAAGCCTACTCAGTACGGTAGCACTGCAGCCTAGGATTTTTTTAAGCTGCCTCTAAACGAAGGCGCATCCATTTACAATTAAATTATAATGGAGGAGACAATATTCATAATTATTATCTCTAAACGCAACGCAAGGCACCAGAGCACCACAAATATGAAGAGGTAGGGGCGGAATTCTCCTTCCCCAAGTCTGCAACCTCACACTTCCGGCACGGCTTCCTGTCAGTCCTGCTCCGACGACGACGCGGTGTGTGACGTCAGTACCTTTCGGCGGATGCGGAAGAGCCGTTTGGGTCGATTT